TGTGTGTCAAAATCAAATTTATGAGCCTTGTTAGCCAAGTAATCAGCCGCGTAATTCGCTTCTCTATACACGTGGGAAACTCTAACCTCCCATTGTTGATTCAAAATGTAGCTCAAATTCCTGGCAGTAGTACCATGGCGATGCACATCATCATTTCTGTGTTCAATGATGTTAATGGCATTAGTGGAATCACTATGGAGGATGATCTTCCTGTAGCCTGCCTTCCACGCAATCTTCAAACCCTCCAGGGTTCCTCGCAGTTCTGCAGCTTTGATTGAGCATTGTCCAAAACTACACACATAAGCTCCCAGACATCTACCTAAGTGATCCCTGAACAATCCTCGTGTTGCTGCTCTCCCACTTGGCGCTTGTACAGAACCATCCGATTGCAGTTGGATCCACCCTTCATCTGGCGGTTTCCATCCCACCAAACATGATAGTTTCTTCTTTCGAACCAGGCCTGAGGTCTTTAGTATGTTGGCATGAGCCTGATTCACAATGTTGAACCATGCCTTGATTCTTGTTGTGACACTTTCTTTCATAAAGGTACGCCCTTCCATTACCTCATCATTCCTTTGTTTCCAAAGTTGCCAGCAAATGATCCCAAACTCAGTAGTTGTTTCTTCAAATTTGAAATTGTGCATCACCCATTCATCGAAGTTCAGGTTACTGTTTTTGGTAGAATCCTTGCTCTGAAAGATCTCCTAAATGGTCTTGGCTTTTTTGCACTTCCTGAGGATGTGCTCAATCGTTTCTTCTTCTTCTTCTTTGCAATGGCTGCACAGGTTGCCAGTTGTCAACTTCCTTCTCTCCCTCTCTTTGTTGGTGAGGAGGCGATCATGGGTTGCCAGCCATAGGAAGTGTTTTTATCCTACTTGGCCCCATCCACTTCCAAATTTCTTTCCATTTGCCATTCTCCTCCTGCTCCTCCATGTCAGCTACAAGACTGTATGCTGATTTCAGGCTGAACCTTCCATCCTTTTCCAAGCCCCAGATTGTAACATCCTCTCCCAGCTCAGGGTCAGGTGCATCAGTTCCTGCAATGGTCAAGACCACATCATTAGGGAGGTAGTGACTTAGTTTGATCCAGTCCCACTTACCCTCCTCTGTGACCCAGTCAACAACAACAGAATCCAGGTCCTCTTCATTGATGTCGACAGTGCCAAGGTCAGCAAGAATTGTGTTGTTGTCAATCCAAGGTTGCTTCCAGAAGAGAGTACTCTTCCCATCCCTGATGCTCCAACATGTGGCCTCTTTCATCAGCGTCATTCCTCTAACAATGGCTTTCCACAAATTGGAGTGGTTGCTCTTCTTCATTGTAGTAATGTCACCCCCTGATGCTTGAAATATTTCCCCTGCGGGACCTGGACCCATAGATCAGAAGCATTATTAAGCATATGCCACCCAAGTTTGATCATGTAAGCCATGTTCATATGTCTAGCATATTTAAGACCTAAGATGAGTTTTCCTTTTACCCTCAATAGAACCTCAAACAAAGGATCTAACCTTCCTATCAATAGCATCACAGATAGATACTGGGAGACAGGTGGTTTTCATAGCATAGGTAGGGAGTGCATTAAGTACAGACACAACCAAAGTGACTCTACCAGCCAAGGAAAGAGTTATGGCTTTCCAGCTAGTGAGTTTCTGGTCAATCCTGTCAAGAATGAACTTGTAAGTGATCTTAGTGATTCTACCATGTTACACAGGAACACCAAGGTATCTGCCTAGGTCTGAGGTAGCCTGGATTCCTAGTCTATTGCAAATATCACTATTATCCTTGTTCTTAACATTCCTAGAGAAAAAGACCCTAGACTTCTCTTTACTAATCATTTCACCAGAAGCCAGGCAGAAATTGTTGAGACATTTCATAACAACATCATCTTGAGCAGTGTTGGCTTCAACAAACAGGACAAGGTCATCAGCAAAGAAGAGGTGTGAGAGGGCAGGACCCCCAGGGGAAAGCCTAATCGGGTTCCATCTATGGTTCTTAACTTCACTCCCTATACAGTGACTCAGTCTCTCAACACAAAGAGTAAAAAGATAGGGAGAGAGAGGGCATCCCTGTCTGAGGCCCCTAGATGGTGTGAAGCTTTCAGATTCACCTCCATTCCAAAGCACTTGGTAGCTTGTAGAGGTCACACACTCCATAATCCACTTAATGCATTCATCAGGGATTCTAGCAGCCTTGAGGGTTTCATGAAGGAAGTCCCACCCAATCCTGCCATAGGCCTTGGCAAGGTCCACTTTGAGCACCATGTACCCCTTTTTGCCACTTTTTCGAGCCATGGAGTGGATGGTTTCCTGCATGATAATTATATTATCAGTGATATGTCTCTTAGGGATGAAACTGGACTGGTTTTTGTTTACCAGATGGGCCATGAGAGGTTTCAATCGATTGGCAATCAGTTTAGCAATGACTTTATATCCTACATTACATAGGCTTATGGGTCTGAACTGGCTCATAGAGGTTGGGCTATCCACTTTGGGGATCAGGGTAATCAGAGTATCATTCAACAACCTAATTCTGTTGAGATAAAGGAAACAGGAAATAATGAACCCAGCAAAATCCTTCCCCACAATGTCCCAGCATTTCTGGTAGAAGATGGCTTGGAATTCATCCTTACCAGGGGCTTTAAGCCCATTCATATCTTTAATGACAAGTCTAACATCCTCAACATTGGGCAAGGAAGAAAGCTTGGCAAGCAAGTTATCATCAAGAGGAGGGAAATCAGCAGGAATAGAGCAGTTCAGTTTCAACGAAGACATGGTGAATAAGTGAAGAAAATACTCCCTGGCCATGGTGAGGAGAGTATCAGCATCAGTGATCCAGTCTCCTTGGTCATTCTTCAGGCAAGTGATTATGTTTCTCTTCCTCCTGCTAAGGGTGCTGGAGTAAAAGTACTTGGAGTTCAGGTCCCCAAAGACAACCCAGTTGGTTCTGGATTTCTGAATCCAAAGCATCTCCTCTTGCCAAAGGGTATCCTCCAGCTCTTCCCTAGTCCTTTGCTCATGGTTGAGGGAGTTAGTGGTTGGGCGTCTCTCATTGAGGGTTTCTAGGGACTTAAGCTCATTCAAAAGTCTTCTTTTCCTCTGGAAAATGTTTCCATAGACCTCTTTGTTCCATTTTTGTAACTCAGATGAGAGCATCCTAAGAGATGAAGGGAAGTCTTCACCTCTCCTCCATATAGAGAACATGAAGTCAGGGAAGTTTTCATGTGCTAGCCAAGAGGCTAGAAACCGAAATCTTCTTTCCAACTTCCTTTTGGTGGATTGAGACTCTGTGCAGGTCACAATTGGCATGTGATCAGACTTGATCTTAGGGAGGTGTAAGGTGGAAGTGCCTGGAAACTTGTGATGCCAGCTCAAGTTACAGATACTTCGATCAAGTCTCTCCTTGATGCATGAGTGTCTTGTAAACCAAGTAAACTTAGGACCAGAAAATCCAAGGTCCATGAGTCCACAGTTCTCCATGCACTCATTAAAAACTCTAACTTTGGCAAAGTTGAAAGCATCACCTCCTTGCTTGGATGTTTGTATACCTTAACAAACAATGGCTTTGGACAAAAAAACATGATGGTTGGTATTTGGAGATCAAATACAACATCCAAATCCCATTAGCAAACAACACCTTAAATTTTTTTTGGGTTAATTGCATATTTGGTGACTAGGTTTAATAAAAATATTCATGTTTAGTCACTCCAAATATTTATTTCCATTCGTGGTCACTGAAATTAGTTCAACAGTTCAAGTTTGTCATTGTCCGTCCAACTCCGTTAACTTTGTCTGATATGACAGTCAACTACTATAGTTGACTGTAAATATGTGACGTGACAATTAAAATATAAAATTTATCTTTTAATTTCCAACTCATTTTCACCATAAGTAAAAATAAAAAAAAATAAAAAAAATTATAATTTATAATTACAAAGAGTGAAATCTTCCTGCATTTGAGTTCGACTGTCTTCCTTGAGTCCATGTCTCCTTGAATGTCGTAAACTTTCTCACTGTGCCCAAAAAACTACTCTTAGCTCATCCCTGGTGTTTCCATTTCCTCTCCTCCTCCCTTCGATCCCTAACCCCCAACATATCGATCGAAAACCCATCTCGAAAATTATCAATTGATCCCCAATTCGGTCGCGTTCCATCTCCTTAACTCATGAATACGGCGGTGGAATTCTTCCCCGGCGAAGTAATCCTCCAGATTCTGGTTCGATTGTTAGTCAAGCCACTCTTGCGAGCTAGAACGGGCTGCAAAAGGTGGGGTTTTCCGAGCTATTTGATGTCTCTGATTCCTCGGAATTGAAATCCACCTGAAGATGTATTATCGATAACCTAGATGGTAGCAATTGACGCAGGGCCGCACTGGAGCCAGTTGACGTCACTGCCGGTGTCGAGGACCATGTAGAAGGGTCGGGGTGCCTAGACCAACCAGGGAGAAGTACTCTCGCTGTCCTGGTTCGACCCGGCATGACTAGGGTCGATAAATTGAACTAAGAGACGCGGCTGTTAGGAGTCGTCGTCGAGGAGAGGAGTGAGGTCGGAGTCGGAGATGGATTGGATGCGGGCGGAATCACAGTGGAGCCTGGCGGCAATGAGGGATTTGTAGTCCTAGTGGCTAGATCTGATGACGAATTCTATGGAGAGAGGTCGAGGGTGAATGGGGAGGCGGTGTTGAGGTGGAAGGGGGAAAATGTTTGTTCGGAGACGTCGATGGACGTCTCTCCTTTTGGGGAGGGAGGTGTTAGAGTGCGGGAGATAAATGGAGTTAGGAGGAAATGGCCAGGAGAATGGCAAAGAAGGAGAGGAATGTTGGTGAGGAAGCCATTCTCACTCTATAATTTTTTTCTTTGGAGATGGAAGAAGCAAGGAAATAGAGGGTGGGGGAGGAATTGAAATTTGAAAGGGTGGAGATTTGTTGGGAGTTTTTTCTTTTTTTAGATTATAGTAAATTAAGTTAAAATTTTATTTTTAATAGTTGTTAAAATGAGTTGGAAATATTTAAAGATAAAAATTTATTTTTTATTATATTTTAATTGTCATGTCACACATTTAGCGGTCAATTATAAGAGTTGACATCAGACAAAGTTAACGGAGTTGGACGGATAGTCGTGTTAACTTGTCAAACCTGAAACCAAAACGAAGTGAATATCGGAAGCGAAACAGAAAGCGAGACACACTGTTTACGTGGTTTCCCCGATGATCAGGACTAGTCCACGGGAGAGGTAGTACTCTCCGAGCTGTAATCTTACTAGGTTTTTCTCTCTTAGTCTTTCTACAGATCACCAAGACTCTAATATATACATTCACCACACACCCCTAGCTGTCTTTTCTAGGGCAACATCGGCTAGGAAGTTGTGGGCCGAAACCCAACTACACATTACATACAAGGTGAGATGATTAAGCCCACTAACAGCCTCCCTCAAATTGATGCGGATCCCGAAGCATCAATTTGCTAGACAGAAACCGATGCCGAGCACACGAGAACGGCTTAGTGAATAAGTCAGCGAGCTGGTGCTCAGACATCACATGGCGAACATGAATCACCTCATCACGAACTAAATCCCGAATTTAATGAATATGCACCTCGATATGTTTCATGCGATCATGTGGAACCGGATTGACGGCAATCTGAATGGCACTGGTATTATCAACATGGAGAAGCATGGGGGATGCGCAGTGAACACCCAAATCTGTCAACAACCTCTGCAACTAGACAAGCTCTGAGCTAACGTCGGACATCGCACGATACTCAGCCTCCGTGGAGGACTTGGATACCTTGTCTTGCTTCTTGCACCGCCAGTTAATCATCTCACCTTCCGAGATAATGTGGCCATTCTTTTTGCAATAGTAGCAAAAATTCTTCTGTCAGCAAAACTTTTGAACATGTCCAGGCTTGCGGCAATAATGGCAAACCACTTCAGACACCGAAATCGTTGAAACTGAGGGCGAACCACTGCAAAAGCATGAGGAGCAGCCGAGGAGAATGACCCCGCGATAGAGTCCGGAACGGGCGAGGATTTGGCGGCAAAAGCAGGTTTTGCAGAGCCTGGGCGGATATCAATTTTCGCCTGCGTGAGAAGCCGAGTTTCCTCTCGAATGAGGTTGCTCAACACCCCAACCCATTTCAGATTTTCCCTATTGAGTAAGGACGAACACACAGCTTCAAATTCTGGCCGTAAGTTGGATAAAAAAATGAAGCATCCGTGCCTGTTGGCGATCGGCAAGAGCAGCAGCAGATGTGGCGGCCGATCCGTCCAAAGAAGCATCGAGCAAGTCTTGCTCTGTCCACAGCAGCTTCGCATCATTATAGTATGAGGCCACGTCCAGGTCTCCTTGATGAAGACGGGAAAGGGCGAACTGAATATCAAAGCGGCTGGTGGTGGTGTTGGTGTTATATGTGGCCGCCAAGTCTGTCCACATTTCATGAGCAGTAGTGAAGAGACGAAGCCCCAAGGCTATCGAAGGATCCACCGATCCAAGTAGCCATGAGATGATCCTAGCATTGTTCTGCGTCCAGCGAGTGAGATCATGATCTATAGAAGGTGGAATCGAAGGTCGGGGAGCGGTACCATCCAAGATTGAAAGAAGACCACGGCCTTCAACAATCATCCGAAATTGAAAAGCCCATAACGAATAGTTCTTCGAGTTCAGCCGCACAGAAATCCTTTCCGAATCGAGAGATGAAAGTTTTGATACCATGGTAACTTGTCAAACCTGAAACCAAAACGAAGTGAATATCGGAAGCGAAACAGAAAGCGAGACACACTGTTTACGTGGTTTCCCCGATGATCAGGACTAGTACACGGGAGAGGTAGTACTCTCCGAGCTGTAATCTTATTAGGTTTTTCTATCTTTGTCTTTCTACAGATCACCAAGACTCTAATATATACATTCACCAAACACCCCTAGCTGTCTTTTCTAGGGCAACATCGGCTAGGAAGTTGTGGGCCGAAACCCAACTACACATTACATACAAGGTGAGATGATTAAGCCCACTAACAAGTCGGACAGTGATTAAATTACTATTGAAATAATTTCAGTGAGCACGAATGAAATTAAATATTTTGAGTGATTAAACATGAAATTTTTTTATTAAATTCAAGGACCAAACATGCAATTTACTTTTTTTTTTTTTTTTTTTTTGTATTTGTGAAAAATTCCCGGAGAAGTAGGTGGAGGATAGACGTTATCAAGTATCAACAACGCAACACCGGAGCAGAACAGAAACTGCCGCCGAAGTGGCAAAGCAGCGGCACTGACTGACTGCTTTTCCTGCAAATCTGAATTCTTCTGCGGGAGGGCGCACGAGAAGAGAAGTAATGATAGGTTCTAGGTTCGCTTCTTTCCAGCTCCAAGCCCCAACCTTCTTCCTCCCCTCCCTCCCGTTCCCTTCTTCTCCTCGCCGGAGGTTTCGTCAGGAGTGCCGGTCTCGTCGCCGGACGTTTCAAACTTCGCGGACTGGAGCGACCAGTTGCAACTGCCGTGCCGGAGTGAGTAAACCACTGGGTGAAGAACAACATCAGCTCAACAATCAAGCGCCCAACCGAGCTTACCCTTTCCATGAAATTGAGCCCAAATGGCAGCTCTACTGGGAAGAGAATTCCACTTTTCGCACCCCTGATGAAGTTGATACCTCCAAGCCCAAGTTTTATGTGCTCGACATGTTTCCTTATCCCAGGTCTTTATTCTTTCCCTTTTCACCAACTTGATCATTTCCTTATGATTCAGCATTTGATTTGGTTAATTGTTGCCTCACACTGTCCTGGAATGTGTTAGAATTTGTACCACAGTTGTCTGCTTGATGGATGATGTTCTGATGTTAACCAACCAACATCTTAATGTGGGTTGTTTTGATGTTGCAGTGGAGCTGGTTTACACGTTGGCCATCCACTCGGTTATACTGCTACCGACATTCTTGCTAGGTTCAAGAGAATGCAGGGTTATAATGTTTTGCACCCAATGGGATGGGATGCATTTGGTTTGCCTGCTGAGCAGTATGCCATTGATGTAAGCCATTCAATCACCTCAGTTGTGTTCTAGTGCCTGATCATTCTGGATATACTACATTCTAAGGGAAGCAAAAAAGTGTACCACCTTGTTTGATTAGGTGTTTCTCGTAATATTCCTTGCAGACAGGGACACATCCCAAAGTCACGACGTTAAAGAACATCAACCGATTTCGTTCGCAGGTCCATGTCTTTGTTTGCATTGTTTCTAGTTACATATTCCTTCCATTTGTTCCTAATATCTTCCATGTAATCGGACTTTGGTGTTACAGCTTATGGCTGCAGCCTTTTAAATTACTGAAAGTTGGAGTTTGTTGCTTTGATATATTGTTGCAGCTCAAATCTTTGGGGTTCTCCTATGACTGGGACCGGGAAATTTCTACCACGGAACCTGATTATTATAAATGGACACAGTGGATTTTTCTTCAGCTTCTGAAAAGAGGACTGGCATACCAGGCAGAAGTTCCAGTCAATTGGTGTCCTGCTCTTGGAACAGTTTTGGCAAATGAGGAGGTGGTGGATGGAGTTAGTGAACGTGGGGGTCATCCGGTTATAAGAAAGGTATAGTGAAACAAACACTTGTTAAGTCACTTATATGATTCTATTAAGTTCTCTTCTTTCATTATGTTGAATTGTTTTATAATTCTACAGTGTCATTGTTTATTACCAAGCAGCCAATGAGGCAATGGATGCTCAAGATTACTGCCTATGCCGATCGCCTCCTTCGAGACCTAGACGAACTTGACTGGCCTGAAAGCATAAAAGAGATGCAAAGAAACTGGATTGGGAGATCTGAAGGGGCTGAGCTGGAATTTTGTGTTCTTGATGAAGATGCCAATGAAAGATATGTAAAAATCACTGTCTATACCACAAGGCCTGATACCATTTTTGGAGTGACGTACTTTTCTTACTCATTTGTTTCTTTTTGTGAAGTAAAATTTGTGGACAATCCCCATTTCTGGCTTCTTTTTCATATCTCTCTCGGCTTAATTTCATGCAGATATTTGGTTGTGGCACCAGAACATTCCCTGCTTTCAACAATAGTTTCTGTTGGCCAAAGCAAAATGGTATGCAACCACTTCCTTGCAGTATTCATTCTCGCTTGTTTATCACCTCTGACAGATTGGTCACCCTTCATCAATCACAGGTGGAGGAATATAAAGACCTTGCTTCTCGGAAAAGTGACCTGGAGAGGACCGAGCTCCAGAAGGAAAAAACTGGGGTTTTCAGTGGCTGCTACGCCAGGAATCCTGCTAATGGGGAAGCAATTCCAATTTGGGTTGCCGATTATGTTTTGGGGAGGTATGCTTGGTTGAATTCTTACTTTGGCTATCACACTCTCTCATACATGTGTTGCGAATGAGCCCCCTTTTGGCCTTTTCCTTTAATCTCTATACTCGGAGCTTATTGGCTTGTTTTATCTTTAGCTTGCTAGAGTGTTAACAGATCGTACAGTGTAGTAACTTCTGTTCTTGACAGTTATGGAACAGGAGCAATCATGGCTGTGCCTGCACATGACACCCGTGACAATGAATTTGCTGCCAAATACAACATACCAGTGCGCATAGTTGTAAAGCCAGATGGTGATGATTGTGTAGATTCAAGCAAGGCTTTTGCAGGAGAAGGCACTGTTGTGAATTCAGTAAATTCATCATCTGGTCTTGACATCAATGGCTTACCTAGCAAAGCAGCAGCTGCCAAAGTCATTGACTGGGCTGAGAAATATGGAAATGGGACAAGAAAGGTGTTCTTAGTTCTTACTGTTAATTTGCATAACATCAGTATTCTTGATAGAAACATTATGTTGTGTTATTGTGCACACTGCAGCTGACTAGCTGAGTCACTTTTCCTTCAGGTGAACTACAAGTTGAGGGATTGGCTTTTTGCAAGGCAGCGTTACTGGGGGGAACCTATTCCAGTTGTTTTCTCGGACGATACTGGTGAAATCATTCCCCTTCCAGAAACTGACCTTCCTCTTACACTACCAGAATTGGATGATTTTACTCCCACGGGGACAGGAGAGCCACCCCTAACAAAAGCTGTTTCTTGGGTATGTTAGTCTCGTTTGAAATGTGCTTTTTATCTTCCTTAGTTCTTTCAAGTTTGTCCGGAGAATTAGAATCATGATATGCCTTGGTACCCAGTAAGAAAGATGATAGGAAGTTCTAGATTGGGATTAATGAACATGTAAATAAAGGGAAACAGCAATGAAGAAGGAAGGTGTTTGTTCAATCCTTGAAGAATTCTGGAATGGCTGCATAGCTTATGGTTACTCCCCAGGCCTTATAGAGCTGTATAGGCAGTAAATAATTTGGCAACACCAGTACTTTCTTGTACAGTATAACTAGCTGCTCGTCATTTATCTTTGACGTTTTTACTTGAAATCCATTTCCACCACTTAACTATTATAGTTTGGGGCTTCTGTCCAGGTTAACACTGTTGATCCTTTATCTGGAAAAGCTGCCAGAAGAGAAACAAGCACCATGCCTCAGTGGGCAGGTTCTTGCTGGTAAAGTAAAAAAACTTGGCTAAGTTCAAGTTCTTAAATTATGTTTTATCATGTAAAGTGCTAATTCCTTGTCCTATGAAGTTATAATTTCCTGCTTCCTTCTTTAAGCCATAAAATTCTGCATGCTTTCCTTGATTGTTCAGAGGCCATGTACAGGTACTATTTGAGATACATGGACCCAAAGAACTCCAAAGAATTAGTTGATAAGAGGAAAGAAATGTACGTCAGCCCTTTTTGTTATATGATTAAATATATTTCAAGTTAATTTATTTTGTGAGACCGTCTTGGTGCCATTTCTTAGCTATATCAATGGATGCTTTTTCCTGTAGCTATTGGAGCCCTGTTGATGTCTATGTTGGTGGTGCTGAACATGCTGTTCTCCACTTACTTTATTCAAGATTCTGGCACAAGGTATGTGTCCACACGCACTAGGCTAAGAACAGTTTGTTAGTTAGGCTGATTATGCCAGTTTGTAAGCCTAGCTCATGAATATACATATTTTCTGGATGTCTCATTCTGAAACATAGCAAAATGATACACAAACAGATGCAAATTAACCAAAAAAGCTAGGCGGTATAAGCTTTCGACCAAAACACCCATTTTTCACATTTCAGGTCCTGTACGACATTGGTATTGTATCAACCAAAGAGCCGTTCAAGTGCGTGATAAACCAGGGAATCATCCTTGGGGAAGTAAGTTCTGGTTTCTGATTCTGTGAGCAAATAGTAGTCCTGAAATAGAATAATTAATAGCCCTGGAACTTGCAGGTTCAATACACAGCTTTCAAGGACCAAGATGGTAACTATGTATCTGCGGACTCGGTTAATGCATCTGATGAACTTTATCAGGAAGTAATACCTGAGGAAAAGGTGCTGCATTGCCATTCCATTTCCATTTTCTATATTTTTTTCTCTTTCTCACGTTCTTCTTGGATTGACTGTATGGTGGAATTAGTAGCAAGGGGTTAACTTTTCCTTCTGCTTGACATGCAGGTGAAGAAATCTGGAGATGGGTATGTGCTGGATGAGAATCCTGGAATCCAAGTGATGGCACGAGCACACAAGATGAGCAAAAGCAGGGGAAACGTTGTGAACCCTGATGATGTTGTTGGGGAGTACGGAGCTGATGCTTTGAGATTGTACGAGATGTTCATGGGGCCTTTCAGGTACTTTTTAAGTCCCTCTCTGTATAAGTTTTACGATAAGAAAGAGGATGGTTTGAATAAACAATTGCTGAAACAGATGGAGTGTGGTGGTGGTGGTAGGGATACAAAAACATGGAACACCAGTGGCATCGAAGGTGTGTATCGTTTCTTGGGAAGAACTTGGAGGTTGATTGTTGGCTCGCCTCTAGCTGATGGCAGTTTCCAAGATGGGAGCTTGGTGGTTGATGTCGAACCTAGCTTTGAACAGCTCCGTTCTCTTCATAGATGCATAGCCAAGGTCAGACCTTATGACAGAGATTTTTTGGTGTGGATTTATCTTTTGCTAACTGAATTGGGAGAATTATTTTTGGGTGATGCAGGTAACTGAGGAAATTGAAGCCACGCGATTCAATACTGGGATTTCTGCAATGATGGAGTTCGTAAATGCAGCCAATAAGGTTTAGTAAAACTCTGCATCCTTTCCTCTTCTTCCCATGGTTTTGGCAGTGAAGATTCCATTTACACAAGTACTTGTGGTTGGCAGTGGGACAACCTCCCAAGAAGCATAGCAGAAGCATTTGTGCTGGTGTTGGCACCATATGCGCCCCACGTGGCCGAGGAGCTTTGGTTTCGTCTGGGTCATTCCAACACATTGGCGCACGCACCATTCCCGGAGGTAAACCAAAAAAGGGGAAAAGGAAGGAACTAACTTATCATTATGTGCATGGTTTAACTTGCAATGTTTGTTACAGGCGAGGTCAGAGTACCTGAAGGAGGCAAAGAAAGTGCTCCCTGTTCAGGTGAACGGGAAGACGAGGGGAACGGTGGAGGTAGACGAAGGTTGCTCGGAGGAGGAAGCGTTCAGGATTGCATCCCAGGACAGCAAACTGTCAAGGTTCCTAGAGGGGAAGTCGATCATCAAGACGATATACGTTCAAGGAAAGATATTGAACGTGATCTTGGGCGGGAAGGGGGCCAAGCCTAAACCGAAACCCAATCCTGATGCTTCACGGATTATTGTTCAATGATAAAACCGGGAGTAGCCCAGTTTGTAAGTACAATTGTGTTCTTCTTCCTATCAGAAATGCCTAATTTGTCCCAATCATCTCTCAAATTGCTGAAGTTAGTGGGTGAAGTGGCTGTGAAGGTGGTGAGTGACGGTGGTTGCAGCCGGTCGCCACCCTCTCTGTCGAGCTCTGCGCTCCCAGAGGGCACTGATTTGCCTCTGGGAGGCGAGTGCTTCTTCGGCTGTCTCCCTGGCAACCTCGCAGGTGTCCATCCCCGCGCTGCACTTGTCAGCTTCCTTCTGATACTGTGATGTCATCTTCTTGGCCTCCAGCAAAGCCACGTCGGCCCGCTGCTGGTTCCTCACAGCCTCCGCCTCTTTCAGCTTCACTTCCTCCGCCAGGAGCTCCGTGAAATTGGACTGCGCCTCCTCGCCCACCTCCGGATCCTGCTTCTTCGTGCATTCTGTCGGGCACCATTCAAAGTCCCAGAAACTGATTCATGACAAGCAATCAAACTGCCGAATTTGAGTGATTCTAGAGCGAGAAGGTGTACCTGAGAAAGAAGTGTTGGCGCTCAGATCTGCAAACATGGAAAGATGGGAAGAATTATGCAACAGGGAACGAGGAAACGCGGCATAATACAACAAAATTATTAAAGGAGGAGATGAGATGATTTGGCTGATCACCATCAAAAAGAGAGAACAGTGGCTGAGTGGAGCAGTCGCAGAAGCAAGGTGGACAGTATGAGGAGGAAGAAGAAGAAGAAGAAGAAGAAGAGGTGGCGGTAATGAAATCGGAGAGGTGCCAGAAGAGCGGTGGGATTACAATGTAAGCGACAAGGCAGAATCCCAGGAAAACCATCGCTGTCTTCACTGTCTTTTGTTGTTCCCTGTTCTTCATCTTTTCCTTATATTTTTCTGTTCCTTTTCTCCCTTGTTCAGATTGCCAGTTTTTTCTTATATCGGAACATAGCTGTTTGCCTCTTCCTTCGGCTTACAGTTATGATTCCGCATGTCCTTCGGAGTGAGCATCGGCAACTTTCCAATACAAATAACTCCGAGTTTTAATCCAAGCTTTGACCACCAGAATTTTCAACAAAAAAGGAGAAAGGAAGTATTACATTTTCCATATTAAAATGGGAAAGGTTTTTTCACCCCAAAAAGAAAAAAAAATTTTGGGAAAGGTTAGAGTAAAATCCAACCTGCAAAATCTACGAAACTTGTGTCTTATCATCTGTCTTATTATCACCTCTGATATGAATTCTAAATTTTTTGATATGATTCCTATTAGAAATGGTAAGACACTAGGTTTGTAGCTCTTGAGATATGCGCCGTAGAGAAATTTTACAATGCTATATAGTATTGATGCTATAGGATTTTGCTTTTATGGTACAACTTAAAATTATACATTTATGTTATGGTACAACTTTAGATTGTACCTATACTTTTTGTACAAATTCTTTTATGGGACAACTTGAATTTGTACCTTTATGTGATGGTACAACTTCAAGTTGTAAAATTGTACCATAACATAATGTTACAAATTGCTTTATGGTACAACCTAAACTTATACATTTAATGTTATGGTACAACTTTAAATTGTACATTAAAACACCAATACTATATAGCATAGTAGAAGGGCTCATGCGCCATAATCCAGACCTTAAAAAATGTTGTTGTTTAATTCAAGATTTGTAGCTATTGAGACATAATCCATGATATAGAATATTTTCTTTTTTTAATTGTAAATGATAGATGACAAGCAATGATTTTGTAATTTAGTGGGTTAAGTTTTGAACCTAAATATTTTTAGGATTGGAAATGTGAATTCATTCATAAAAAAAATATGGATTACATTTGAAGGTAAGATGATTAAAATGGTTTAGTGAAAGACTGAAAGGTGTTTAAGATATTTTTGTTGAATCTTGGCATTTCACGGGAAGAACTGGGAAGTTTGTTGTTTGAAACTGAGCATGGAAAAAAAAATAGTGTTGTGAGTCAGCATCTTATGAAATTGTAGTTTTACTCGTGATTGGAGGAAAAATTCATTCATGTTTGAGTATTCCAATTGGTTGGACCTCTTCTCCCACGCGTCATATTAAGGTGGTAATATTAAGGTGGTAAATTGGTTGAACTTAATTGAAATGAATAATTGATGATTTGAGAACTATATTTTAGCCCGTCCGTTGGTCGGATGAATTACATCAATAGTATATAAGATAATAGTAATTACTCAAATTATTTATTTAGTACCATGAAAAAACACAAATTATTCAGTTACTAAACATATAAAAAAATTACATACATCATAAGTTTTACATCTTGATCATTCATGGACAAAAGTGTTTATCAAAAGTAAACACCACAACTCATGCAGAGATTCAATTGATAAAAACTAAATCTTTGAAACGCACTTCAGTTTAGTCTTTGATGTTAGAAATTATTGCAAATTTCCTTTTGGATTTTTTTTTTATTGCTCCACTATCAAAAGCATCTTATCCATACAATTTCATCTTCATTAATGAAACTTCATATTCAACATAAAAAAATCTCTTCCTTCTTTTCCTACATTACATTAAAATCAAATTTTAATGGTAAAATGTATGAAAATGTGAAACATCTTTTACCGATAGAATAATTTCACCTCACCCAAATCATAAATATTATCAACCATTCAATCCTTACTCCCATCTTTGAAATTTCTATATCCACCAACAATAATCTCTTCCTTTATCTCAATAACGTAATTATCTACATCATTGAATTCACGACCTCCGTTGTTAACATACTCTTCCTTCTACTCCCGCATTTCACTGAATGCAAAAATCTATTGGCAAAATTTTTAGAATTGTGGAATTTTATATTCAATAACTTAAATTTACCAAGTATATGTCATGAACTTTATCTGAGATTGCTCTTCTTCACCCTTAATTATCTTCAAAATATGTACCCACTAATGGGGTTCGCGGATGTTGTAATCGGTGAGCTTGAGCTGAAATCAACTTCATGCTCTCGGTTTGGGTGGGTTAAGGAGGTGAAAGTTCTCTCATTTTGTCAATATCTTTGAGTAGTTTCTCTTAACACATTCCAAAATATCTAGCGCATTCGCGATACAAACAAATAAAGTTAGATTAAACAATGTTGTCTCCAACACGCAGCTGGTCCTGAATCTATAAAATAACAACAATTTAGATACACTATTTGGTCGAAAACCTTTTATTTTAGTCGGTACTTTGTTTTCTCTCGAATGAATGAACTTGAAGTTGAAAACAACAAAAAAGTAAAGGTAAATTGTTTACTTAACTACCGTTGTCTTTGATGCTGTTGTATAATTCTTATAAATTTAGTTATCGTAATTTTCTTCAACTTTCTTTGGCAAGTTTCAATTAATATGTTTTTCTAACCCCAATTCTTTTGAAATAAGAGTTGAGACGAATGAGATATAATTTGCATATTGTGAACATTTGGAAAGCTCATAATTACAGCTCGGGATTTGTGCCAGTTATAACTAAAGGAAGTTATGCACCAAAATTTCGTCCCTTTTACTTAATTGTTTGAAGGTCATATTGGAGTCTAGAGCACTGTTTTGATAATTAGATGATTCTCCAATGTTAATATTTTTTCAAGACATAGAATCAATAAATATAGTACTTAATAAACATATGAACTGGCTTAAAAAATAAAAATAATACTGAAATAGGAATAGAACAACAAAGTAATATGTCAGTGCATTCAGTTAAACCAATGCCAATGATTCGTTATTGGAGCAAATATCAACAACCACCATTTCATCTGACATACGTCTTTTTTATTTTCCAATGGATTTCCAGGTTTCATTAATGGAAATTTTTTTATGTAGTGGGTAATAGCTCTGGTTGCTCGTTGTTCAAGAATTCTTGTTTGGCTAGTTCATAAAAGAATTTTTTATAAGAATGATCTTCGCACACATTCCAAAAGATCTGTATCCTTCGCGATACAAACAAACAAAGCTAGATTAAACAATATTGTCTACAACACGCAGCTATTTCTTAATATATAAAATGACAACAATTTAGATACACTATTTGGTCAAAACCTTTTTGTTTTTGTGGGTACTTTGTTTTCTCTCGAATGAATGAACTTGAGGCTGAAAACAACAAAAGAGTAAAGGTAAATTGTTTACCTAACTAATATTGTCTTTGATGTTGTTGTATAATTCTTATAAATTTACTCATCGTAGTCTTCTTCAACTTTTCTTTTGAAAGTTTCAATTAATATGTTTTTATAACCCAAATTCTTTTGAAATCAGAGTTAAGAAGAATGAGATAAAATTTGCTGAATTTTTAACATTTGGAAAGCTCTAATTATTGCTCTGAATTTGTGCCAGTTGTAACTAAAGGAGGTTATGCACCAAAAGTTTATCTCTTTTACTTAATTGTTCAAGGTCGTATTAGAGTCTAGAGCACTGTTTTGTCAATTAGTTGATTCTCCAATGTGAATTTTTTTTTAGACATAGAATCAATAAATATAGTACTTAATAACCATATGATAACTTAAAAATTAAAATAATATTGAAATAGGTATAGCAAAACAAAGTAATATGTAAGTACAAAATGAAAATTTTATAAGAATTATCATCACACTAATATAATTTTTCCACTAATATTTTATCAAAACCAAGCAAACTTATTAATAATGAAAGAAAAAGGAGTTTGCAGTTTGTCATATGACAAAAGAAAAATATATAAAAAAACCTAGGTCTAAGGTGGCATAATCTCTTAATTTGTTTTTATTATTGTTCAGAAAAAGAACCTATAAAATAAATTATCTAACTTCTCGTTTTAAATTTTGAACTTCTAGTATCCAAATAGAGATTATAAATTTGTAATATACATTTCATCGGTCTAAGAAAAAATCAATATCTAAAAGAAGAGTTGAGGAATTAACTTATAATTAATTAAACAATCACTTATAATTATATTCGTAAACCTTATCACCCTTATCATTCCTATTATGGCGTTGAATTATTTTACTTTGTATATGTTTTATGGGAATCCTCAAATCCAAAGTTATAATTGAAAATTATTTGATTTGAGTTAAGTTATTAAAAATTAATTATTTAGTTAAGCCACACATAAGAATTTGTCACAGAAAGGAAATAAAATAAAGAAACTAAACCTTATAAGAATTTGTCTCAAACATGACCATCTTTCCTATTAAAAAAAATAATTAGTTTTAACTTGTTTCCTACGAAATCTATTCTCCATTAGTATAATTAACATAATCTCGGGTTTCTAATAGAGTCCGAGTTTATATTAATTAAATTATCTAAAATGGACCTATCATTTAGAAAATTCAGATCTAAGGATGGAGAATTAAAGATTATTTTTATTTTCCCTAGCATTTTTAATCGGCTCATATTTTTTTCGTTTTAACTCGATTTTTTTTTTTTGCATAGATGGAACGAGTTCATCTTGCTCTACAAAATGAGATCAATTTTCAATATTTTTTTAGAAAAAAAATTCTGGCCTCTCGGTACCAATTGCATACCATATGGTATTTTCTTCGTTTTTAATTCGTTTTTTAAAACGTTTGCACAGAAGGGACGAGTTCATCATGATCTATTGGATCTACAAATTTCTGGGTGAACAAATTACATGACCAAAAAATACCACACAATACCATACAATACCACCCTGGTACGGGGTGGTATATTATGGTATTTTCTTCGTTTTTAATTCGTTTTTAAAAACGTTTGCATAGAAGGGACGAGTTCATCATGATCTATTGGATCTACAAATTTCTGGGTGAACAAATTACATGACAAAAAAATACCACACAATACCATACAATACCAACCTGGTACGGGGTGGTATATTATGGTACACAATGATAAAAGTCATAAATGACAGTTAATATACTTCTATTATCATGTATTCAACCATCCTACAGTCTTGGTTTGTTCATACCACCATGGTACGCTTTTCAAACCATAGATATGTTCTTATTTCAATACCAGTCAATACCATAGGGTATAGACTGGTAAAAAATGGCTCAATTTTTTTTTGTTCGAAAAATATATCAAATTGGATATCATTTTGAAGAGCACAATTAATCTGATCTAACTGTGCAAAAAAATTAAATTTAAACTTAAAACGAGTGAGAAATCGTCCGTCAAAGATTAAGAAAGGAAAAATTAAAGGCTTTCCAGGAGAGAGGGATGCTGATATCATGCTGATGTGGGCTGGTTATTCCTGGTTACTCACCATAAAGTTACTGACCTGATCCGTTTCCATTCATAAATAAATTTATTCAGAATGCTGGAAAACCTCCAAACAATATATGGAGGTTCTCGTCACACCATACTTTTTTCCAGGCTTCTGCGCAAAGGGAGGAAAGTGTCCTTGGACTTTTACTCTTTTTGCTTTTTTATTTTTTAATTTAGTTTACATGGTTATTTTTTTGCTGTGTATATTTGTGGGTCCGAATGTTTATTGGCCCGGAATTATTTTTTAGGTTTTATTTAACTAAGTACGTGGGTTTCTCTTCTATGTGGTCCTGATTGTTTTGATTTAGGACAAAGCTGAATATAGATAAGGGAAATCAATTACACGGCAATATCATTAAACAATAATTTTAACAAACTTAAAAACCAAAAGCCAAAAAGATAGTAGTTATCTAAACTCAATTAAAAAAATTGCAATGTCGATCATGCCAGCGGTTCGACTAGAAAACCACAATGGTATTTTGTTGTATGAAATGATTGAACCATGATTAAACCACAATTTCAGGATAACATACCATATCGTTGCATTTCCAATACAATCTCCGGTACGGTTTTTCAATCTTTGCTTCATGGTCTAGCTTTCTTTCTTTACAAGAGAAAGCCATTGAATTGAATTAATATGCATCGATTAATTAAATTTGCATGAATTCATTGTTACGTGTCATTTAGCAATCAGTTTTACACTAACGGCCTGTGCAACGGAATCACAACAACACATGATTAGGATGGATTATTCATCAAATAATGACATATGTCTACTGTTGGCCAAATCAAATTTTTTATTATTTAAAAATATCTTTGGCAATTTGACACATCTAAGATTATTCAAACAACTAAACTGTACTCTAATTAAATCTTAAAATATTCAATTTAAGTACATATAATTATTACAATAATTATATATATTTTACAATTTTATGTGTGTTTATGCGACAAGTGATTCAGAGAAAAATGAAATTGTTTTATATCACCTGAAGGTGCATATGATTTTATTCAGTCCATGTCTGAAGTGCGATGAGCTTTCAGATGAAATGAACATAGAGGAGGAGCTAGGTTGGAGCAGCTGCGGATCCAGGATTTAGTAGAGCATTGGGCCGCATTTGTATAGATAGTTAGATATCTTATATATTTTTAAAAAATATATAATAATAATAATAACTATTATTTTCATTATAATGTCAATTGTACACGACAGTCTTTTAGTTTATCAAATTCATAAACAATTTAGTCTTCATCCATACTAATAGCATACTTTCTCAAAGAAATAGTTAAGCAATCAGCGAGAAATTCATCGCACATTTTGTTGCGCAAATCAGTTTTCAATGTTCCATTACTAAAAAGATTATCTCCGTAGTAGCCGTTGAAATGGGCAACATCAACACTAGACGAAACAATGGATAATAAGAAAATAATATTATTTTTACCTTTTTATTTGGTGCTTAAGAATATGTCATTATAAAGTATATTCAAATCTACATAATCAAACTGCACAACAATTATATACATTCAAGTTTCTAATTAACTTTCTTATTCTAATTCTAGTAGAACACCATTTTTTGTGATGCTTCACTTCAACTCGACCTTCTTAGCTTCGATTGATCTTTTCCTTTGAACCCTATAATGCTACAGATGACAAACTGGTGAGAACAGAGAACTAGATGAACTAAAGAGCAGTTTGATAATTTGATTTGTTTGTTTCAAATGTAAGTAGAAATGAGTGGGCTTTTAATCAAGAATTAATAGACACAACTAAAGCCCAACCACTCTTGCTTTTTATCTGACGTAAATGATTAAGACAATTCAACTTCCCTTTTGTTTCAAAGGCCCACTAGCGAAAACACTTTACCCAAATCAAATTTTTTCAATAAATAAACATAAACCACCACAAAAGAGAGTTGGCTCAGGCCGATTATTAATAGGTAAAAGGAGGTGGAGGAGTGCTCTGAACAAGCTGTGGAGCCAAAGAGGGCTGGGCCCGGGCCCAGGTTGGCCCCCCCTTGGATCCGTCGCTGGGTTGGAGGGCACTATAGCCCCTCCCCTCAAAATGGAAATATAAATAAAACTACATAAATTCGCAACAAATTTAGGTAATAGAATAGTCTGTCAGGCTTTAGCCCCCTCCTTCAATCATAACAGTTTAAATCAGCCTCCTTATTCAGATTCTTGGCTCCACCACTGGTATTGAACATCTATGGTCACTATTGATTGCTAACCATTTCACATTGTTCATCTTACAAAATTATTGCTTTATATCTTACATTTTTATAAATTAATCTACACAAATAAGAGTTGAAGAGAATTGATCAACCAATGAGAATATCAGCAAGAAGGAAATATACTCTCTACATAAAAAATAATATATATATATATATAGAGGAATTGTCAACATTCCTAATGACAATCCATTAATTTCATGTTTGTTTTCAATCCATATATTATCCTACATTTGTTGCAAAAAAATTTATTTTGTGAATTCCTATATAGGGCTTCAAAATGAGATGCATAACTTAATCTTTATAGGTTTCAAAATGAGATTGCTAATATCCGTCAAATTTTTAAAAAATTAATAATTATATGCACGTCATGCGTTCTAGAGACTTTACAGGTTTCTAGATCTTTACAGGTTTTATGAAGCAATTCCAAATTTTAATTTCTATCAAAGTAGAGTAATAGAGGAAAAAATCTCACTGTACACTAGTTATTAAAAAAAATTCCCAAAATACATAAGTTATAAAAAAAATTCCAAAAGTACACATGTTTGAGCATCACCGTTTTAGACAAAAGCGGTGAAGGTTATCACCGTGTTTAATAAACACGGTGAAGATTTCACCGTTTTAAAGTAAAACGGTGATGCCTTCACCGTCTTAGTCTAAAACGGTGAATGCATCACCGTTTTAAACTAAAACGGTGAAGGCATCACCGTTTTAATCAAAAACGGTGAGGACTTCACCGTTTTAGTGGGACGCGGTGAAGACGCTGACGTGGCAGACACGGGTATTCACCGCGTTAGACAAACACGGTGAATACCCCGTGTTTGTTTGCGTCAGCGATCCGCGCCAGTGTGCTTTCACCGTGGCCGTTAGATGCGGTGAGACGCGGATCGTGGTTTTCTTCCCACGATCCGACGCCTCACAGCACGCCACGTGGACGGGGGAACCGTTTTTGGGGAATGCAAGGCCTTCACCGCGTTCATCAAACGCGGTGAATGCTTCCCCAAAATTACCGCGCATCAGCTCTTCCCCCCTTCCCCCAACTATAAATACCCCCTTCCCCTTTCACTTTCAACTCACCCCACAAACATTTCACTTCTTTCTCCCTCAATTTATCCGCTCTAGTCTCGTTCTAAGTATGCTCTGTGGTTGCGGCTAAGTCCGATCTTCCACATCAGAAAGAATTACTAGAGTTTGACCCTAAAGCCCCCGTCCCGCTAAGTTCCCGTCCCTTACAAACCTAAACCCGTCGAACCTCTGTCCGGCTTCCGCCAATAATAGACGAAGAGGCTCTTCGTGTAGGTTTTTGGTTTATGATTTTTTTTAATCGAAACAATTTGATTTTTTTTATCAAAACAATCTCTGATTTCATTACTTTATTATAGATGGGTGCCGAGATATACGATCCTCGATTGTATATCCATTATGGCCCAAGGGATGCGAGTCTCTTAACCGATCAACAAGCTCATCGCTCCCGTGCCATTTGGGATAACAATCCGGTAATTTGATGAACTGACTTGCTTTATTTTATTATTTTCTAATGTTTTATTTTGCTTTATTTAATCTAATAAATTGATGTTTTTCCTATTTTTTTTAGGAATCTCTTGTTCCCGTGGTTCATAAAGGGACCAATAACTTGCCCGCTTGGCATCCAAGGTTGGAGCCCTATATAGCGAGGACCGGTTTGGGAATGTTGCGCCATTTCTTGCGGATCGAGATCGACAACGATCTGCTTACGGCAATGGCGGAACGATGGCGTCCCGAAACCCATACATTCCACCTTCCGGTGGGGGAAATGACGATCACCCTCAAAGACGTGGCGATCCTCACCGGGCTTCCTATATCTGGAGATGCCATCATTGGGAACACGACCAAACCCGGAGGAGGTTGGGGGCCGCTCATCCGTGATCGTTTGGGCTTCGACATGCCGACCACCACACCAAATCAAGGACGGGGGCATCCACCGTTGAATGCGGGGCAAGTGTCGGTCCCGTGGCTGGTATCTCACATCCAGCAAGAGGTGGAAATCAATGACGAGACACCGGAAGAACAAGTCGAGCGCTACGCCCGCATCTACCTCATCGGTTTGGTGGGTGGATTTTTGTTCCCCGACAAGTCCAACCGGTGGATTCAAGGCATATGGTTGCCATTGCTCACCGGTGACTGGGATGCAATTGGAGAGAAGAGTTGGGGATCGGCCGTGCTAGCGGGCGTATACCGGGAGCTGTGTACTTGCTCGAAGGTTGGGGCAAAGCAAGCTGGTGCTGCGATGTTCATCGTTCAACTGTGGGTATGAGAGCATCTTCCAATGTTCGCACCTCTCGACCCACGTCCATACCGGAGAAACGATGATGAGCTCAACCTTCTGCAAAATCTCCCCTACGGTGTCAAGTAAGTTTATTTCGTACTTAGCCCAATTTAAATTTTATTACATGCTTGAGCTAGATTTAAATTGAATTTATTCCGTACTTAGCCCAATTTAAATTTTATTACATGCTTGAGCTAGATTTAAATTGAATTTATTCCGTACTTAGCCCAATTTAAATTTGATTACATGCTTAACTAGATTTAAATTGAATTTATTCCGTACTTAGACCAATTTAATTTATTATATGCTTGGCGATATTTCAATTAAATTGATTCCGTACTTTTACTTACAAGGTGGATAGGAGCAAATACGAATGACCATCAACCTGAGCATTCGTTACTGTTTTATCGTTCTGAGTTAGATAAACCATGGTGGAATCAGGTAATCATGTTTTGTCCATATTTGAACAAGTTCAATTTTATCAAAGTAAATGGTCGTTAATTGTCGAAAACGGTGAACACAATCACCGCTTTTGTCTCAAACGGTGAATAGGTGGTAGCTGCGACCTAATTTTGACCTACCAGGGGTGGGAAACGTGGGAAATGATCACCGCGTTAGTTAACAACGATGAATGGGTTCACCGTTTTTGACCAAAACGGTGATGTGTTCACCGTTGTTAATTAACGCGGTGAAAACTTAACCGGTTTAGTTTGAAACGGTGAATACTTCACCGTTTTTGTTTAAGACGATGAAGTATTCACCGTTTTTGACAAACACGGTGATGCCCTTCACCGCTTTTGTCTAAAACGGTGATGCTCAAACATGTGTACTTTGGGAAATTTTTTTATAACTCATGTATTTTGGGAATTTTTTTTAAGAACGTGTGTACAGTGGGATTTTTCCCAGTAATAGAAGTGTCATTTGAACAAGTTTTTAGGAGTTGGCTCCTTGGTTAGAAGTCTGCCTTTTATGTTAAGGATTATAGCTGATGAAGTGGTTAGGATGTTAGAAAATACTACGATGTTAATCCTTAGGATGTTACCAAATAATTTGGATTCTTTTATACTACCAAATAAAAATGTATTTCGCTTGACTTTTACTACTCATTATTTTACGATATGCAAAATGAATCCGGCCAACTATCCAGGTCCATTTTGCTTCAAACAAATTGCTATTGTTGTTTATACCATTTATGATTTATGAAATGTTGTTTATACCATTTATAATTTATGAAATGCATACGGCCAACGGGCCGGGTTCAAATCTAGTTTAGAATTAAGCATCTTCTCATAGAAAACTTCTTTATATTAGGGTTAGGATAAAAGTAATTTTTTGAATTATAATAAGTTAAATTATTGTAATTTTAAATGTGATCTTAAATAAAATTATGTATCTTCCAAAACTGATCATCATGAATAGTAACAGAAACTTATTCTGCGTCGATTGGTACTACGTCAATTTCATTGTATATTCATCTAGAATTCCAAAAAGAAAATATAAAGGAAAGAAGCGTCTTCTTTCCTTTCTTCTCCCGGATTCAGCCAGGTTACATTAGACTATCATTTCCAGTTCAATCCACATGCGGACATACTTCACTGCTACGGAAGCACACAACAGTACACTTTATTAATATGACCAGAAAATACCCAGAACCAGTCGAGTCCCCGTATTAATTAAGAATAGAAAACATAATACAAAAGGGGGTAAAAAGAGAGAGGGAAAGGAAGGGACAAGCAGTTACAACTGTGAAGACCTAAGAATTCATCATCAAAAGAGTGAAATCCAGTTGATGGAGTGGATGCTTCACAGAGGTGTGTGTGCTTTCTCTTGTTTCTACTTCTTCGCATATTCCCTCGCTCCGAATATGACTGACCCGACTCTCACATTTGTACTCCCCATCTCAATCTGCAACAATTCACCCGTACAAAAACCATGAGCATTTCTTGTCTTCTCCTTAGACATACAACCCCAGTTCATTGAGCATCTAGCACCACGACATTTAAATCAAGCAATATAGCTGCCTTACCGCTTGCTCAAAGTCATTGGACATCCCCATGGACAGCTCACACTGCTCTTCTTCTATACCAAGCGCCTTGCAAACTTCACTTCTGCAGTTTGCCAATGTCTGGCTCCATCCACATCACAGTGCACAAGTCAGAAACCTGATGGAAATTGGAGGGAGGGGAGGGGATCCTTCGGTCAGTTGAGATCCTCTCACCTTGAAGTTCTCCGGAGTGGATGAATAGTCAAGCATTCCGATTGTCATCAGCCCGCAAAACTCAAGGTTCAAGCATCGCTCACTCACGTGCTTTGCAAGCTCCACGCACTCTGATGGCTCAACCCCATTTTTTGCTGAAATTCAGGACATGAATCCGACCCACAAACCAGCCATCAATCATCAGTATAGAAAAGAAGACTGTACAAGTGAAGGATTGTTTCACTACTTGTATCAGAAACTGCAATTCCCTACATGAATCCATAAGGGACCTAACAGGAGACTTTTGGGTATAGGAAAGGGTTATATCACTCCCTCATACAAACTTCAATTCTTAAACCATATATCGCACATGGGAGCAGGAAGTTTCTGTTTCCAATAAAAACTAGTATCTTAGCCCCTAAGAGGAGATTTCAGCTTCTTCTTTGGTACCATACTCAGTACAATGGAAGATCCCTAAGGCAGCTCAGATATCTATCCAGGTGACTCCTTAAATGTACAAAACTATAGCATGAAGATTTCACATGCATCAACTAAAATTGAATTAAGTTACCCTTGTGGGACAACAACCATTAAGACAGCATGAGATGATTTCACCAGCTATTTTGGTTCACAGAAAAAAAGAGAAATGCAATCCACTCACATTCTTCGCCACTGGTATTCACTTGGACAAACACCTTCAAAGGTTTCCTTCCCAAGCTTTCAACCATTCGATCAAGCCGATTGGCAATCTGTAGAGAATATGAGCTCGGCAAATGCATGAATACCAGTACAAAGGAACCATATTTCGGTTGATTCAGCAGAGGACACATATTTGGAAGAGGTAGCAAACAGAGCGGCTAGCTTTTACCTTTTCATCATCTACGCTCTCGACCATTGCAAGATTTGGTACACCAGCTGCAACATACCCAGAAATACAACACCAGTTGAAGTGTAAGTTAAGCAGCCAAAATTGAGAAGGGTTTTTCCAATCGAAACATAATAATCGCCTATCATTCAATCAATGAGATCTTACCCAGTAGAGGTTTAACTTTGTTGCTCTGTAAGTTTCCAATAAAGTGCCATTCTATGTCTTCCGGAAGCTGCAATTTTCACAGCAAATTATCATTTCAACACTTGCACTGTGTATCATTCAATAAACCCATACTAAAGCTTGCGCATCAACTCAAGAGTCTGAGAAGTCGATATACACGGAGAGAAATAGGAATCTAAGAAAACCAACAGACCTGAGGAGCTTTATCTATAAGTTCCTGAACATAGTTCTCGCCGAAACATCGATGGCCAGCATCGTAGACTTGTCGAACGAGAGAGACTGGCTTCGTCTTGCTAACGGCCACCAGCCGAATCTGGTGTGGCCGACGACCTGCCTTTTCAGCGGCTTGGTGCATCCGCCTCACGACGGATCGGAATGCTCCGGCGGCGGCGCCATCCACGGCAGCTGAGGTCGCTGCTTCCATTTCCTGTGAGCCTTGTGGCTGATGTGCTGCGACGGCTGTGTCCGTGCGCCATTGATTGATGCGTTCCTCACTTCCTCTAGATTCGACATCTGCGTCGGGTGAAACGCTGCGTTGTATCGTGAGACGGCTCCGTTTCATCTGGAGTAGGTCTTGCTTTGGAAACCCAAATGGTCACCAAACTTTGCTGAATGGAACAAAATGATCCCTGAGCTTCAAAAGCTAACAAGAGGTGGTCTTTCAAAACTCTTCCTTTCGTTGTACTGAATAGTTTCTTAACCCAACTGGTTTGATCTTCAGCACTTACGATTTCACAATCCTCAATGAACATGTCATCATAACAATTAGGATGTTGGAGGAACAGACTGAATCGACAGTGGAATTCGAACGATGTGATGTGATACAAAATTCTAGTTAAAACAATTTCACCGAAACTGAATGCATCCATTGCCTGTGGCACTGAACTTGATGTGATGACTAGATTTTCCATGGAAGCGATTCTGAACCAAGTCGGAGAGATGGTAACAAAGTTCCATTTGGGGGACAATACGGAGCAGAGATACGTCTCAGGTTTGCTGCCTACGCTCATGAAACTCCGCTGTAGCTGCACCTGACCACCTGTTGTCCAACTCGTAATGCCGAGATGGTCACTCACCGGAGGTTGAGGTCACCTGGGTGAGCAACTGGTTGAATGCCGGACGCTCCAGTAGCAGCCCTGACCTTGACAAAATCCACGTTGGGCTGGGGAAACAGGGAGTAGACGTAATCTTTAAACTCCCGAAGCATATAACTCAATCAACAAGGCATGTTACTCGCAGCATTGGGATATTGATTATGTACCTATAAACGTTTCTGACACGGTAAAAGGCTCATTAAATCCTAATATTCGTGCCAGGCGGTCAATAATAAAGATGAGCATACAAAGCCACAGGTTTAGGACAGAACCATTGGTTTCTTCAAGTTTCAACCACATTAATCTAGTACGACTGAAGCACCTTTGCTTACATCAATACCACATTCTAGCCTTAACACGGTTCCAAGCTGAAGCACGCAAAAAAACTTACGATAGACATCTTATTTGCTTTGGCCTATGATTCCCCCACCTAAAAGGAGGAAAGAACAGGTTTCCTCCACAAACAGCATTGCAGAAGTTAGCGGTTGATTGGCGTGTGCATTCGATCCACAATTCCGTTCACAGCAGCACGGGACATCACCAATGTGTCATGCTGCAGTATGCTGTAGACATTCAATCCCTGCAAATAAAGCATTTTAATAAAAAAAAACCCCATTAACCTAATATAGGCTGCAACCACAGAGCTACTTGCGCACATGTGAAGCAATCTATATAAATCAAAACTAACTCCACAAAGCTAAACAAACAGCAGGACACACGGAGCCTCGCCATTCCTTCGATTGTGATTCAATCTTATAACTTACAATTGAAGGTAGCACATTGACATAATGTATATTTTGTGTAGCCAGCTTCAGTTTTTCATTGATGGAACCACCATCAACCAGCAGTAGTTTCTTGGCATTCTCCATCTGCTGGACATAGTTGACGATATTCTTGGTTTTGTGTGTAGGAACCTCCAAATCCTCAAACACAAGAAGCTGCACATTTGAAACATCCTTTAAGATACTTATAACAGCCTCAAAACAGAGGACCAAGATTAGTCACCAATACAACACCTTGTGGCCGTCTCATATAAACAGAATCCACAAGAAAGGAAAAACGACTGCATACTTACTTTTGACACCAAACTACTCCCCACCAAAGAAGCATGTAGAGATAAAGAAGAACCCATACCTTTCCTTCTGCTGCACGTGCTGTCAACGCAATCTTCAACCCTAAACGCCTGACCTGCTTATTTAGTTTAAAGGCGTGGCTTCGTGGCTTGGGGCCATGCATAACACAGCCACCTCTGAACTGCATATGTAGGTTAATTTTAATTAGGGATAGACATAACCAAACGTACATCAAAAGCAATCAAAAGTCAAATGGTAACCTATATGAATTCAAAAGAAAACATTACCTGAGGTCCACGCAGCGTTCCATGCCTAGCCCTTCCACTTCCCTTCTGATTCCATGGCTTTCTCCCAGTCCCACTAACCTCACTGATTGTTTTTGTCGAATGTGTTCCCTGAGAATCAAATATTCTTTTCCTAAACATAAAAAACCCTGAAGTGTCTAATAACAGTAAAACTCATAGACCTGATGCAGAAGGACATAGAAAATTACTTGCTGTCGTTTGGCGAGTTGCCACCTCACGACTCGATGAACGATGTCTTTTCTAATAGGTACATCAAACACATCGCCAGCTAGAACCATAAATCCTTTGTCCTCATTGTTGAAATTTGCCACTGGAATTACCAGGTCCTGATAAAGCCCTAAGATAAGAAGAATTATTCATTAACCCAGTTACAAGCTACCCGAAAACCCACCAACACCAAAATAGCAGCTTATCTCTGCAGCAGAGATAGGAACCAAACAGCTATAAGATTAAATGGATCCCGCTAAATTCAAGCATCAAATGTCAGAGAACAGCGTCCTTGCCTATTTTACGATCTGGGGTTAGCACAGCCCTTGAGGATAACAAATCGGCGGGAAATGGACCATCTTCTAATTCAGGGGTTAATACAGATGTAAACCATCTCTGATGCGAAAGAGAAGCGGCCGAACCCTACATTGTAGTAAAAGCGAGCAGGAGATATAGTTCACTCCATTGCCGATCAGGATAAAAGGAACATGGCAAAAAGAAGAGAGATTTACCAAATGAAAAGAGGATCCCCGAGAAAACAAACAGTCCCCCGAAGCTCGGATACTGATATCTGGAGCAGCGGATGGGAAGTGGGAAAATAATCAAGACTAGTAAAACAGAGAGACGAGTAACCGCCAAACTTTTTCCGGCGAGCAATGATTGGTTGATTTTAACGAGCACGGCTACGGGCAAAGGAAGTTTACCCTGGCAACGGCGAAGAGCAGACAAGGAACCAAAAGAACGCAATATTCCTTTCGAGAGTGACGATGCCATCCGGCCCAAGCAACAGAACCGAGTTACTGTGCAAGATTGATCTCGGAGGGTGGCATACAAAACCCTAGGATTGTAAAATCCTCCAGCGAGCGAAAGCCGGAAAAGTTGTTACCAGATTTCTGCAAGGTTTGAAATTTAGCAGAAGGCCCCGACGGTGAATCTGAAACTGCAGGTAACGTCGCCGGCGCGGCGGCAGAAGAGAGGCAGCGGGACGGAGACGATTTGGGGCAGAAGCCTTAAACCCTGCGCAAAAAAATTCATAAAGCTGGATCTCCTTCGTGTCTCAGGCGCGGACCGCCGGTATGGATGGACTCAGTAGCCCAATGTGTGGGCCTAGGCTACTGGGCCTCCCTGAATGCTTCTGATGGGCTTTAGGGGGAGTCTTTCAGTTTCACTTTTAGTCATGAATTTTGCATTTCCAAAATTATGTTCTTCAGTGCTGAAGTCACCTGCTCAAGCCTTCACCTTTACCAAGCCAAATGCATCTACGATCTTATTCATCCAACTGACATTACACCTGCAGCTGCAAGCCCCTTTCCACTCCAGCTGCCATCAGTAATCTCCCCGATTGAGATCGCCTTCAGTCCAACTCGCAATCAAGCGAGGTGGTGAACTCTCACACCCGCCATTACTTGCCCTAACCTAGTTCATGCTATCGCGAGTTCACGACCCTCCTAGTTTATGGATGCAACATGGCAGCTTCAGTTCAGAATCCACATTGACACAGGTCCTCTTACAGATGTGCATCACGTTTTTCAAAAGGAGAGTGTCATACTGGGCAAGAGAGCTGTTCCCTCAACAGATTTGATTAACTGTTAGGGTGGGCGGTTGTAAAGGGCCCAGAAGGATAAATTTAGAAGAGAACTGTCTGTCCAAAGCACTAGTTAGTTCCACATACAAACAGACAGGGTTAATATATTACAATCAAGAAACCCAGTCAGCCAGCAGAATTGAGCACAGCACACTGAAGTTCTCTCTGCGCTGCTCCACGTCTCGCAAAAAGCAGCGGAGTCGCCAATCCTCTACCAAGCTAAATCGGCCATAGCAAATGCTGGTCATTTTTATCTCTTCCGCCGCTTAGTCTCCACCTGCAAGAAAGTTCATCCTAGCTTTAAACCATCATCAATGATAACAAGAACCACATGGTTCTTTGCCAACCCAATTCTTATATCCTCAAATATCCAAAAGAAAAACACCATTGAGAGGTTTCCTCTACCATTCATAGAGCTCAAAGCTACTGCCAGCAGAGCCTCATTACTCTGATGCTCCCAATAACAGCAACAAAGAAACCATAGTTTTAGCTGTTTTCTTAGAAATGAAATGCAAAAAAGCCTACAGCATACTGTTATCATGCTAATGCAATAAATCTAGCGCATATTGCCAAAAGCATCCAAGCCCTCAGGACCTGTTCAGATTTATTGTGCACAAGACATGAGCGGGACCCCATCTCCAAAGAAGAAACGATTTTGGGCAAGATAAATTGTTATAAAAAAATGAGGCAATTCAATTGTCGGCAATCTCAAATTGCCATATACCAAAATGCTATGTTTTTTCTTTCACTGCCAAACGACAAATTTCAGCCCAAATGCCTTGTGATGAGGCAATTGGGACAAATCGCCTACCCCAAAGACCTTGAATCCATGAAACTGAGTTATGTCTAAGGTTAATCTACCCAAGTTAAACAAACCAAATGCTATACTTCACTTGAGGGAAGCTTCAAAGGAAAAACAACGGTTTAAGATAGAGAAGCCATTACTTGTTTCAAAAACTAATAACCCTAACACCTTGAAAAATATGGCCGATGAATAATCTGGGAATAATTTCTTCACCATTCCAGCCATTATTAAGTAAAGGAGCATCCCTTTGCTGCACAGTACACCTTATGAACAACAGGATGTATGAAGCCAATAGTCAACAAGCCTTGGAACAGTACAATTAACGAGCAAAGTAGCAAGATGCACGGAGGAAACAAAGTCCACGATAAGGGGAAACATTTGTGAGAGGCTTACTGTGGATATGTTAACTATATGTTTTTGTATCCTAAACCAGCAATGCAGAATATGTTCCTATCAATGATATTCAACAATAGGAACTAGATATCCATACTGATGTGTATCACACTCACGAAATACAAATCAACATACGAAAAGAAAAGCAGCTGCATATACGACAGCAGCTTCACATATAAGAGAGAGCCGTGGATAGGTAGACTCTGTCCATGAAACAGGAACTAAAGGAGACCAAGATTTCCCTGAACTGTACCAGGTTGGACAGACTGAAAAGAATGCCCGTAAAATTCTGAACAATTCCATCCTCTGGATAGGTCCAATAGTTTAATGCAGCATAAGAAACGCCGAAGTAAAAGATGTTCTTGGGAAACACCCCAATCAAGGACTGAAAGATGTGCATCAACTTGCAGCCACACACTAGCAAGCAATGAGGGCATCAAGGTTGACCCACTAGAAGAAAGCTGCAACTGAGACTGGTGATGCTCAATTAACATTATGCATAACTGGGTTCGAGAATCCTTACCTTGACATCAGCTGTTGGTGATGTTGAAAACCCATTCTGTGGTCTTTTGACATCGTCGTCGGGAGAACATTCAGAGCAAACAAAGTGATCCAATTTCTTAGCTTCCTCAATTGTCATTCCCACACAAGCTGGATGGTACCTAGGGGAACAAGAAAGGGCATGAGCAAACAAGAAACTTTCTCACAGGTGACACAAGTGTGGTAAAAAGATGAGATGTATTCACAATACCGGAGAATAATATCCTGGTTCTAAAGATGAGGGGCTAAGAGAGAATGAAGACCGAAGCGACCCCCAAGATGACACCCACAATACTAAATTCCCAACTAAAAATCACGACTTATTTGCACAATCTTCTTTCTATACATAATTTTAAAAACTGAGCTAGGCAAGCTAGCCTCAATCACCCGCCAACAACAAACAGATAGGCTGACAATGCTGGCCTCACGAACATGCTACCATCGGAAAGCAATTGAAAAGGGGAAAAAGTACTGAAAGTAATCCAAAAGGAAGTAACTTTACCAGTCCTTGCACTCCTCGCATTGGACCATAAGGTCATCCGGGTTATACGGCATCTCACATTTGCAGTACCTTAAACGAGGGAAATGCCCAAAACAAACCAAGGGAGGGCTCCAGTTAGTGATAAACGAGTGAAATGTGGAACAGAAAAAAGGGTCGAGAAAAATAATTAAACTCACACAGCAACACGGTCCGGGGTGAAGCCTCCAGTAGCAGCCTTATACTCGAACCTGCAGAAATAGTCTTCGGCACCAACATTCTCGAGTTTGGTATAGTTCTTAAACGAGTGAACAGTACATTTCCCCTCGATGGTGTGTGCGCTCTGGACATCGTGGTGGTCGGAGAGAAAGAGCTCTTTGGCGCCATGGAACTGACGGCGGCCTCCGAGAGACTCCTCAGGGCGGTAGTACCACCTGACCCGGACCTTGACATTATTTCTGGAGTCGGAATCGATGCCCTCGATTCTGGCAACGTAAGGCGGCTTCCCGGTGTCGGAAGGTCTCATCAGCACGCAGTCGCCCACTGTGGAAACGTACATTATTCAATCCCCCCATTAATTGGGTGTGGAGGAACTGAGGAAGAGCGAGCGAAAGCTACAAAGAACAATGGAAAGAGCAGGAGAGGAGAAAGAAGCCCTTTTACCTTTGACGACTTTGGTGGTGCCGCGAATGGTGTAGGAGTCGAGCTCCTTCTTGCCACCACCAGCAGCACTGGCAGTACCTTTGGGTTTGGAGTTGCTGGAGGCGAGGCCTGGCCTGGTTTTAGCCATGGAAGGAATACGAATGAAGGGGGTAAAATATATGAAAGAGTGAAAGATCTGATTGACTGACTGATTGATTGATTGATTTGGGGGAGGGGGAGAAGAAAAAGAAACCCTAGGGCTTCAGTTCATGCTCTACCCAGCAGCTCCTTCACATTTGGTAGCGACAAAGAAGAAAGAGAAGAGAAAGGCGAAAGAAACGAACCCCTGGGGGGAAATGAAGGAGGAAAAGAAAAAAAAGAACAGAGAGAGCGAGTGAGAGTGTGAAGAGCTGACAAGACCGCGACCTTTGACCTTATATTTATTTTCTTTCTCTTTTTCCGTTTTTACTTTTTATTTTCATTTTTACGGCCGCGGCCACCGACTTCTTCATTTCTCGCGGTTGCTCCACTGTCTTGTTTTTCCCTTCTCGTCATTTCCTTTCCAAGGCAACGATAATTACTTATTATTTCTTTATCCCAAAAGTAAATGAACGTTAATCCGGTTATAATCACGAACTAATCATAAATTGATTCATATATATATCGGAAACAAGTGAAGTTCTTACCACAGTGAACTTACAGTGTAGATAACAGAATTCCGTTAGAGAGAGGGTACCAAAGTAAACTGAATTAAAACAAGACACCGGCATTTTATTTAGTGATACAATTTTGCGTCAAAACTCAAAACACCAACATACCAATAGCATGTTATTGTCAAAGTAATATTAAAACAAGATACCAATATTCACGGTAAATACCAAAATTAACCCAACTAATACTTACTTTTACGATATACGTATTATCGTGTTAGTTTGACATACATTTTGACAGTTTTCGTTATCCAACTATCTGTATTGCGTCGCAATACGGTACAGTACCACAAGTAGATAAAAAGAAGGGTACGTTTAAACTTCACTTCAAAATTAAGAGGAATCCAATACAAGTCAACAGCTGAATGTGATTTCTCACCATGAAGTGAATCCTACTATACAGAAAATCTAACCCGAAATCGGGCTTGTCCTGTTCATTCCAAATAGACCAGAGGAATGAATGAAGGAGAGTACAGGGTTGGGTGGCCGCAGATACAACACGAGAATTGGATTTACCAGAAAACAAAGACACAAACAGAAATATTACATTCATCCCACCACAAAACCAAGCTTCTCTGTTATAGGATATTAGGGTTCTACACATTCAGTTCCCTCGACACAATTTGCAGCCCACTATAACAGGATTTGGCTTAAAATTTCTGCATTACAACTGAATTTGCAAGGCCGGCCTGCTCTATTGTCTGAGTTGGATCGCTAAGAAGCTTTGGAGGGAATCCCATCATCTGTAGCTGATAATTCCGTGCTCCCCCGGGCCTAGATGCGTCAATAAACGCTCGTATGTCATTCACAGTGTGATGGTAATTGAAGTTGGCAATCATGCGGGTTCCATCAGCCATTCTAAGCTGAACTGAAGTTGAAGGTAATGTCTCATCTACAACCACGCCAGTTGAGGGGGTTGGAACAACATTGAGATGGGTGGATGAACCAACCACAGGTTCCGTCGACACTGGAGTTGCTACGCTCCCACCTAAAGTTCTGCCTACACCTTGAAATGCAACATGCCGCTGTTTCTCTGGTTCCTGCAAGCCAAAGATAAGACAGGTGAAGGGGAAACTTAGAACAGGTACGTGCAAGTGTTTCGAATGCAACACAAAGCTGGAGTGAAGTTTTCAACACCCTCAGCTGCAACAGAGAGAAACAGCTTTCTGCTAAAAAAACACATTTTGTTTCCTAAGTTCTTAACAAGATCTATTATACTGTGGAAGTCAGAATACGAACCTAACACCCTTAATAGAATAACTAAGTCAGCATCATTTGTATATCTCTCAGGAAGCATTTTGCTAAAAGTAGAAAGTGAAACCACAAGGAAGAAAGAGGAAAAGGACAGATAGGTAATTACCGGACACTTCTCATCCCTTTTAATCAGATTTACATGAACAGAGGACCTCCTATCTGCTGGCTCAAGCTCCTTTGGACACTCAGATTTGGTAATGCTCTGCAATAGATGGAAAGTCAGTAAAACTAGCAAAAGATTCATACATCACAATCTTGATAGTCAAACGAAAGTTCATAAGGACCATGTATCAAAATCTCACATCAAATGCATAGAACCAAATTTCCTATATTCACAAGGCTCTTTTAGCATTTAGCCATTTCTTATATTTCCAGGCCCCTTTTAACATTTATAGATCAACAGAGCATATTTCCCTAGCTATAATCAAGCAAACATTACACCCGCCAATTCCCTGGCAGTCCCAAATAAGAATCTGGATATCTCAAGTGTATGGATCTCAGAACTACCAACAGATAGATAAAAGACCATGGTTGCTTGGAGAAAGATTATTCACATCGCTAGATCTCACAGAGGCCTACATTATAGTACCTCCAAGAAAGGTGCATTTTCGGGATCATCCAACCTCCGTAGAGGGCCATCATTCACAGTAAATCCATTGCTCCAGAAGATGATGTTATGAACAACAGCCTCAGGCTGCTGTGGAGTCGATTGCACAACTTCCCCAGAAAGTAATCTACCAGTTCCAGCAAAGCTCGTTGAGCTAGAGCCGGGGCGGAGATGATCGACAGGCCCTTCTACCGCTCCCAACTGCCGAGCTTGATTGAAGATTGAATCTACATCATTAACTTTCTGGGGATCTTGGACAAGCATACCACTGAGATAATAACGAAATAAAATGTGTAAGTAACTTTTGAGTTCTCGCTTGCATACCCAATAAAAAAACTTCATAAGAAAGAGAACAAGAACCAGCCTACTCTATTGTAGGCAACCCAAAGCACCACCGCAAGCTCAATTTGCTAGTTATACACCATGATTAATGGGGTCTCAGGCAAAGTCGTAACTTCTCCATAAGAAGCCAAAATACAAATTGAGTGGTAGATTATACAGCACTCAACGCCTAAAAATCACCCAATTGGATCTCCTCCCTCCATTTCTTCTTAATACCCAACCAAACAATAAATCAGAGAGACGCCAAGGCCTAAGACCACCTTCAAAGGTGCATTGAATTAGCCATTTGGATCACCGGAAATGGAAATTTTAATGGAAACTAAGCAAGTGAATCGAGGGGAATGTCACGCGCATAAGAATCAAGGAGAATAGTTAGGGTTTGGGAAGAGACCTCTTCTCGCCACCGGTGTAGTACTCCTGAGGACCTTCTTCATCGCTATCGGAGTCGGGACCCGACCGTCGATTGAGATCGGACAGCGTGCGGATGCCGCCGGCTCTGCTGGTGGACGGTTTCGCAGGTTTCTTGTCCCGTGATGACATTTCTTCTAGTTGTTCTTTGATCGAATCACTACCGGGGTAGAAGCAAACCAAGAAATACCTGCAAGTCGGTTGGATTTATCAGCGGCAATGATCAAACGCAGTTTTAGACATCCAACTAAAAGCGCGTGAATTGTACGCAGCTTATCACGCTAATTTTGAGGTCAATTTTGCAAATGGTGTTTGAGTAATTGAGTCATTCACAAAGTTTCAAGAACCTTGATAATAACAACTTTGACACTGAAGTTTAGAATATTTTTTTTAAATACAATATTAGCTACAACTATTATGAAGTGGGGAATTATAGTCACAACTATGAAAATTCAAATTATTACCCATAACTATTGTTGCGGGTCAAGATATGGCTAACTTTCCACTACTGTTTTTGAATTTTTAACGGGGAAGGCCGCGTTATCGGTCACGGCAGCAGCCACGTCGGACTGCTTTTAATTTATAACTTTAAAACATAAAAGTTTAGTCAAGTATTACTAACAGAATTGTTAACAGATAGTTAACGTTTGACTAATAATTTGAATTTCCATAGTTGTGGCTATAATTCCCCGCTTCATAATAGTTGTGGCTAATATATTGTATTAACCATATTTTTTCGTTCAATGAAGTTTAGAATATTTACACTCCGCTCTCTGTCAAAATTTTCAACCAGATCATCTTATTTCCAAATTAATAATAGATTATCAATTATAAACACTCTGAATTTTTAAATTTATTTAGAGGTGACGACAAGCGTCTAGAGTATGAAGCCAAGGATTATAAGAAGAGGTGTCTCGAAAGCAGCAGACTTATGCCAAATAGAAAATAGGGAATAAGACTCGCGTAAAAGCACTGAGGCGGCAAACTGTGCTCACAAATCATCTGGCAGGGGAAGCTGAAGCTCCACATGTCATCCAGAAGAATTATTTGCAGCTCATGAAGGGGTTCTGCCAATTCATATCACCCTTAAGGAATAGAAGAAATTGTGCTTCGAGATCATGTTCATCATTATATTCCCCTTGCGGTAAGTACGTTTCAGGCAAATCATCCTTTCTAGTGCTAGTTTCCGATGTATCTCACCAAGAATGGTTGAAAATGGGTGAATTGGGTCTATACGATTGTTGATTAGATCAATAGCAAGTTTAGAATATGTTTCTACTCCAGGAAGTCGATGTCATGTCTTAACCTTGAGAGATGGCCAAAATTTCGGAGGTAATGGTGGTTCTAGATTCTATCTATATTGTTTCTAAAAGGAGAGCATTGAACCTTTATGTAGGATTGCGAGGTTTAAGATTTAGTTTCAAACTATCTATGGTTTGTGAGGGAATTTCAATAAGCTTTTATACTTTATCTTTCTTGACAATCAACTAACCAATAGTATTTTACCGGAGACTTAATTACATTATGAAAATGAGATCAATGATAAATTTTTATATTTCTTCAAATGTTCGATGTATATAATATTTCTTTATGTATCATCTCGATCAAAAGATTGTCAATAAAATTAAACGGGTTGATAGACTTAAATGTAACATGAAAATATAAATAATCAAATATGAATATTCCGGCCAACGGGCAGGGTTATAAGCTAGTAGCATAGGATTTTAAAGTCCATGAATTTTATAGCAAAGTCAGGATCGAAACATGTAAGTAACATCATAAAATCATAAGATTTTAATATTTAAATTCAAATTTTGACTACTATGGTCGTAACAAATGTCAAGTCTATTAGGCAACGATATGGACCCTGCGGAAGTCGATGTTGTTTGATCGATTGAGAATCGATCATGTGCGCAATATCGTGTCCATTCTAATCCTACGCACGGAGTCGGGTTTGCGAATATGACCTTTGAAGTCAGTCATCGTGTTAAGCATGCAATCAAATCAACAACAACCGAACATAAGAACAAAGCATAAACAATAAGAATCAAATCATCGTATATATGCCAAAATTGATCGTTATATAGTCTAGAACCTCTAGGGTTTGTTCTCCATCACTGTTTCCCAAGGTCGCTACCACGAGTTTTGTATCGGGATCGAGTTTCATCCTCTTTAGTGTTTTTTTCTTTCTCTTTTTTTTTTTTCTTTTTGTTGAGCATGATCACAATTGAACCCAAATATATGGGTATCCTTACTTGAACACAAATCATCGCCTTTGCCCACCATTCTGCAGCCCATTTCGAAATACTATCGGCGGAATCCTAAGTTGTTTCCCACCATCGTTTCCCAAGGCCGCTACCACGAGTTTTGTATCGAGACCGAGTTTCATCCTCTTTAGTATTTTTTTTCTTTCTCTTTTTCCTTTTTGTTGAGTATGACCACAATTTAACCCAATGCCGATACCGAAAATCCATATCATATCTACTCAATGTTGGCGAGCTTTGTATCGGGACCAAGTTAATATATATTAATTATTAATATATAAAAGTCAAACATGTGAGTTACTATTCATTAGTTAATATATAAAAGTCTAACATGTGAGTTACTATTCATTAGTGACTCTCACACTCCTCCAAGTGCAAGTGGGGAAGTTCCAAGCTCTTCATTTACCCCACTCTCCATTCTACAACTTTGTGTTTAGTTATTCTTCGCTAGGTTTTCTTCTATGGTTTTTTGCACAAATAATCGCCTTTGTGTTTTGTTATTGTTTGCTAGGTTTTCGTCTATGAATTTTTGCACAAATCATCGCCTTTGCCCACCATTTTGAAACCCATCTCGAAATACTGTCGGCGGAATCCTAAGTTGTTCCCCACCATCGTTTCCCAAGGCCGCTACCATGAGTTTTGATTGGGATCGAGTTTCATCCTTTTTAGTGTTTTTTTCTTTTTAATTTTCCTTTTCCTTTTTGATGAGCATGATCGCAATTTAACCCAATGCTGCTATCGAAAATCCATACCATATCTACTCAATGTTGGCGAGTTTTGCACCGGGACCGAGTTTTGTTCACATTAGTGTTTTTTTTTCCTTTCAGTTTTCCCTTTTTGTTGGGGTCATGAGCGAGTTTTATCCGCTTTAGTATTTTTTTATCCTTTTTCTTTTGGTTGAGAATGACAATTGAGTCTAAACGCATGGGTATACAACCTAATTCAACCCAACCAAAGCGATTTGAACCCGATTTTACAGGTTTTCGATAGGAGTGAGTTTTATCTATTTTTTCTAATTGGCGTGTTTTATCAGGTGTAAACTTGTCCAAAACTCGGTCCAACTAGGTCAAAGCGAGTTGAACCTGGTGTTGACGAGTTTTGAGTTAGTAGCGAGTTTTAGCTTTAGTGTTTTTCATTTTGCTTTTTCCTTTTGTTTAAGAAAGACAATTGAACCCAAATCCATGGGTATAAAACCTAATTTGAAAAGATCCAGAGAAGCTGCTTCATTCTGCAAAAGTTATAGCAGGATCAACTACTAGCCATACAAATTGAAACATTGGCATCATGAAAGAAGTTTAATCTATTTGACGACACTTCTACCTTCTGCAAGTTCATCGACCATATGCTATTGTAAATAACTAGCTTATAACCCGACCCGTTGGTCGGAGGAGCTGAGTTGAATATTGAATTATTGGGATAACCCGTAGATTCAACCATTAAGCTAAATTGGCCTAATGGTGAGTACCGCCTAGCATATCCCTAATAATCATACCAAAGTGAATATATTGGAACATAAACAGTACATCAGAAGTTGGTGCAACCATGAAGTTAGACCATTAAAAACATACCAATGAAATTGAATAGCATCGAAAAACTTCAACTTCATTATATAATTACATGAGATCAGAAAGAGAACACCATTAATTTGCTTTATAAAACTTTCATCTTGTCGTCATTGTGTTTTCTGGTTTTTGTCAGGCCATGATAAAATCTAAGGAAATCAAGAACGAACAACACGATTTGGGATAGGAACCGCCGTTGTCGTATTCCTAGAAAATGGTGGTAAACACGGACTCACCTGCCAAACTGGTTTGGATTGAGATTTTTATCGGGTATCAGGGAACCATGTGATTATAAATTAGACTTGATCAAAACGGGCCAAAACTTCAAATTCAGCCTGTTTGACCGACCCATGCAAAATTCTAATTATTCGTTACTTTTAAACTTTCTATTTGAAAATAAATAATAGTGAAAGAAAAGAGATGACTGCAATTCGCCATTTGCACATCACTTATTCGGGAATAAAACCATAGAAATTCAAAAGGAACTGAAAATGTTTAGGGTCGTTTTAATGTTTAAAATAACCAAATAGATCTTTCTGTTTAGTTTTTTACTAACAAATACCAAACGATTTCCTATAAAAATACACTATAATTTTATCATTATGATATCAAATAATTATATAATATATATTTGAAATGATAAAAATTGGACTAATTGGGTTGGTCGAGGTTGAACCATTGAATAACTTTAAAATACATTATATTTTAGTCACTAAGATATAAAATAATAGCATAATATATATTATGCCAGAGAAAATAGCTTGTTTTAGAATGTCAAACCAATGATGTTCATTTGTTTTACTTGATGGCCAAATCCTGTGTAGGTCAGGCCCATTCAACTCTTTTATTTTATGGTTAGCGGTTAGCCTATTAGATACCATGCATTAGTTTATTGTTAAATTTTTTTTTTTTTATGGTTAATCAAAATTTGCATTAAGCACTAGGGCTTGCAACTGCAAAAACCCCTCTCAAAGTCAACAAATCTGGTATCTATGCTTCTCTATACATAAGCTCAAACAAACCCTATCTATACAATATATCAGCATACTCAGGATAGTCTAGTCGCCAGGGCCCACTTCGCCTCATCCTCAATTCGACCTGCCAATCTGCTTGGGGGGCAGAACACTCCATCATGTGCACGACTACAGCGTTCACGCCAAATATAGCTCACACACATGGACCACTTCAGACGGCCCTCACAGCATCCATCAGAACTCCCAGCCCACTGTCTGATTGCCCACTGCAATTGATCTTGCCATGTAGAACACTCAGGGAACCTGCAAAACTTAGACAACACAGCAACAAA